GACTGAGCAGCGGCAACGTAGATTCAATTAATTTAAGGATATGGTTAAATGGATGATGATGATAAGGTTGCCACAATGAATACCTAATATGGTTATTAATGTTTGCACCCTAATAAAATGATTGCTTAGTACAGGTGCTAATATAGTTGACAGGTTAATGGCTAAAAAGTCACTGCTAGTTCAGGTTAAGAGTTAATCATTATTACTTATGCTTTTCTGCAAAAAGAAAGTGTCAGCCAGATCCACTACCTTAAGCTATGCATAATCCTTGGTGTCATTTGTTTTGGTTTCTGGCGGGTAAGTCTAGCTGAGTACATTCCCGTACTCAGGGTTTATTCCCTCTTGTTGCAGATGACCTTCTATATAAGGAATTCTGCAAGTATTGTCTCCACCCGACGGGTGATGAAGACTAGATCATGGGCATGATCTCTGTTCTCTTATCTGAATGCTTTTGCGGGCTGTGATCAGCGAACCAGTATGTGTATTTGAACTCGACTGTGTGAGTTAAACTATTTGTTTCCACATGTTTTATAAGACTTGTTTTGTAATAACGATGACTCTGTGATGATGTAATCTATTTGCGAATGTCTGCGAAATGTTGTAACGTACGATATGTTATGTTGAATTACTGTGATCTTGGTTGTATGCAAGTTGGTTTGAAATCCTTCGAGATTTCAGTTGACTACTGGGTTTATATGGGCTCAAGTTCGAGAATTTGATCGTTTCGGCGATTGTTTTTGTACTTGTGCTCTTATAAATTGGTCGGTTCTGTGACAGGTGATTTCTCGGATTGTCGCACTAGCCACATTGGCATGACAAGGCTGTCACGCTAGAGTCGATGGCACGCTAAGCCTGTCGCTCCACCCAGTTCGGTGCGATAAGGAGTTGTCAGTCAGACCAAATGTTTCTGGTGTGGACGGTCGCCTGGCGTGACAGTGTCACGCTAGCGGACGGGGCATGACAGTCTCGCGCCAGCCAGAGTGGCGTGGCTCTATCACGCCACCCCCGTTGGTGCGACACTGCCAGCCATCGACACCAAAAATTGCTGGCCTACCTAGTGAGTCCTTGTCGCGTTGGCCTGGGTGGCGCAACAGGCTTCTCGCGCCATCATCTCCGGCGCGACAGCCTTGTGGCGCCAATGGCTCCGGCACGACAACCATTTGCACAGTGCTTCATGATGGCTGTCGCACCAGCAAGTCTAGCGCGATAGGCCTGGAAACAAGTCTTTTTCCTTTTCTTCCACACTTCTTAATGCAAAAAAACAATTGAGACATCATACATAGCATATAACAGTTCATAGATGCCCAACATGGGTCACAAGTTGACAAATAATACATGACCAACATAGCATATAACATCAAGTCCACATAGTTCATACATGATGAACTTAGTTCACAAAGTCCACATAGTTCACAAGTCATCGACAAAGTTCACATAGTTCACAAAGTCCACACGACGAACATAGTCCACCAAATGAGCACATAGTCGACATAGTTGTACCATGACCAACATAGGCAACAAAAGAAGCACATAGTTCATAAAGCATGCTTGAGATTAAGGGTTAGGCATGAAGGGCTCTCAAGGACGATGCAGGCGACCTGGATTTGTCGGTTGGAGATTAGGACCATCGACGTCGGAGCGGTCACGAGCACGTCCTCGCACGTTTCGTCCTTGACCTCGTCGTGGGCGTTGGGACAAACTCTACACAAAACATATACACCATAGGGACTTTGTATCGCTAGAGGACCATCAGAAATCATGTAGTAGTTACTGATGACACACACACCTGAGTTTGTGTACCCTGAGGAGCATCAGCAAGTTGGGAACCCGTCAGCTCATCTTGCTCATAAGTTGGATCATCGATGTCATCTTCACCTCCATTGTCATCGTCTTCCTCATCCCTACGTCTTGCACGGGAGCTCTCCGGTCTATCAATCGCCGCCCTTTTACTTGTACGGGTTTGTCGTCCTTGGTGGGATCCGGGAGGTGGCACTTGTACATCTTCGGCTCTCATGCAACTCAACTTGCGAGCCATCCATCGATAGGATGTCAACACCTTCTGTAACCATGGTCATGTGAAATGAGAAGTGCTTACTTATCATTCCGGTTGAGTAGGAATATACATAGGCATAGGGGTACTACCTTGGCAAATTCTTCAAGGTATGAATTCTCTATCCCTGTTGCATGTCCAAGGTAAACTCCGGCCTCATTGGAAAGGTGAGGTAGCTGAGTTGCCTAGATTACATGCATAATCATCATGACCATGTTCTTTTCAAGTGAAGCTGCGTGAAGGCATAGTTCAAATGAAATGCTTACCATGTAGTTCTCAAGTGGCGCTCTCTCTGGCTACACACTCGTCCTTGTCATCACATCATAGGGGTTGTCGTCGTCGCTCCTTCTTCATCTATTGGAATGCTTGACACCGGTGGATGTACACTGGTTCTGGTGGATCTATTGTGAAGGTTTAGGTTGTTGACGGTAGTTAACAACCATTATAAACCATCAATAAAACATATATAAGGTCACAATTGTGATCACCAACAAAGGTCTAGGGGTTTAAACTAACAAATTCCATGAGTTTTGGTGAATCTATATTTTTTGCAGGGTTTATCCAGAAAACCGTTAAGGTGGACCTACATGTCAGAATTAATTGTGCTTATCCGCCACGAAATGGGCACCAAAAGGTTCCAAAGGACTCCAGAGGACATCACACCGAAACGGGAGCCGAGGGGCTGCCATGTGGGGCTGGTTGGTCCCACCTGTAGGCCGCCCGGCCCCTAGGGCCACCTGCTAGCCTCCGCGTCGCAATGTCAGTTCTCCACCGCCTCTTAGGTTGCATCTACGCCGTCCTTTAAGTCGGTTTGATACAAGGGCTCACGATAGACGCTCCGGCCTATATATATATCAGCCCCTGCCCCCTCCCTCAGCAGATCCCTGAAACCCTAATTCATATCTTCAGGATCAGAGCCAGCAATCAAGACAAGATTAGTCCTCCATAGGATTTAGTCTTATAAATAGAATAGTGAGATAGAGAGTGAGGGAAGAGTTTGGAGGAGGTGCTGGCCTATCGGTGCTCACTCTACGGCTTGTACCTTGGTAGATCCAAGTTCTACTTGAGCTTGCTTCTGAGGATTCTCTGGTAATCAACTTCTGATTCAAGTAAGTAATTGTTTATATTGCTCATCAGGTTCACAACTCTTTGAGTGCTTTAATCTATAGGACACTCTAGGTTAAAATAGTAATTGTAGGTGTAAACGTGGTGCTTAGACCGGGTTACTGATGCAACCTATATTCTAGATCGGTGGTAGCTCGCGAGGGTGACTCTTATAGCCTCGTTGAATACTCTGTAGTCCACCTCCCGTTTGTAGGCCTAGCATGATTTAGTTACTATAGGAAACATACTCTGCTTGTGCTTCCCTTAGTAATATCTCTAGTTGAACAATAGAAGACATAGCTTACCAAAATTAAAACTAGAAGACCTTTGTGATCTCCTCTACACTCTTATTTATCCTAACCTTGTTGCTACCTCTAGTTAAGTTAGACTGTAGTTTGTCTTACACGTTTCCATGTGGATACGAAACTTGGAATACCTCCGGGTGAAAGCTACAGCGGTATCCGTGCGCTTGTGGATTTATTTGTGTGCGTTAATATACCAACACCTGTGAAGCCATGCCATGTACTCACGGTACTCCCTGGTCACACACCGAGCCCCATTAGTCGGTTCCAGCCTCTCTCTAGCTTCCCACTATTGCACGTACTTTTCATGTTTGATAAGTCAGTTGTTGCCGCCGAACCTTTTCCTCCTAGAACACCTGCAAGGAGCACACATATTATATTTTGAGGACTTGTACGAAGCATGCAATGGTCAGTCATGATACATGCAAAGTCCAGCTTACTCATGCAACTGCCGGATTGTCGACTCATGCTGTAGAGGGAAATTTTGTTTCCTACCAAACTGCTTCATCACTCTTTGGGGCAGGTGGTGCTCCATCACATAGTACAAGATCATCGGTACATTGGAGGGGCCCGAAGACAGGGCGACGGTGCCGCCCGAGTCGCCCTCGGGGGAGAGCGACGCGGGGGCGAAGGGGTATGTGAAGGAACTTAAGGACCTGAACATTGAAGATTGGTTCTCCCAGCTGATGAGCAAGGGAAACAAGATGGCGCACTCACTGGCGATCATGACCACTTGGAGCATATGGAAGCAGAGAAACGCGATAACTTTCAGGGAAAATAGGAAAGGGGCGCCAGAGGTTTTCGAGAAGATTAAGGATACATGTAATACCTGGTAAATGATGACGTGGGAGGCGGGGGAGTCCTACAACCCCTCCCTGTTGTAAGACCAAATAGTGAGCAACAGGCTTTTAGCTCTTCAATACCTTTGCAGCTTAGGCCGTTGAAGGCAGCGCTCCTCACGCTTGTAAACTAGTTGTGTTGCTAGCTCCTTATTATTTATGAAAAGCCGGGTAACTGGATTTTTTTTTATAAAAAAAGCAGATGGAATGAGCCAGATGCATGCAACGAGAGCTTCCTCAATCCCCCGGATGAGGTAATGAACTGATGAGGCAGAAAATATTATTCCTAGATGAAGCTGCCTGAAAGTGTATAGGCAGGCCAGTAGGCCGCAGCAGCGACTTGCGCGTTAGATATTTGCGGACCGGTATGGCGGCGGCAAGGAAACTATCTGGTGACTTGGCAGGGCGCTTTCCGGCTTTTCCTGTGTATCTGCACCCGCTACCTCACGCTTGAGGTTCCGAAGGTGCAACGGCTAAGGGGGGAGTGGCAACGACTGCCACAAAACTAAACCCACCTCATGCTCATGCTTTGGAATCGCCCTTCCCTTTTGCTTTTGCTATGCATGCACTGCCCTGCATAAAAGAGAAGGGCAGCATCTTCTCCTCCCCGTCCCTTTGCATAGCTCCTTTATACTGTACCATACCACAGCAGCTTCAAATTCTCCGCCCTTAGATTAGCTCCATTATACTATACCATACCACAGCATGTACTGCCACGCGGTTGGCGGCGTGCACCCGCGCGTCGCACGACGCGCACAGGTACGCCGCGTCGGCGTGGCAGTACACCACGCTGGGCGCCGCGCGGCACCCGTCGCAGGGCCTGGCCCATGCCGGGCCTTCCCCGCCGGCTACTGTGACAACCACATCAACAGCAACCCAAAACAGTACGGGATGCAAGAGCAGCAGCAGCAGCAGCTGCTGCTGCAAAAGGAATTTGAAGAGAAGGAGGGAAGCGAGTACATGGTGCCTTCAGAGGTCGCGATGGCCAATGAGCAGCAGCAGCAGAGTGGCTATGGAGTTCCTGGGGCAGCGCAGGCTGCCTCCATGACTGCCGGGGTCAGTGCTTACACAGATTCCATCAGTAACAGCGTGAGTCCATCTATTACTACTATTACTATCACTATATATGCTGTCATGTGCTTGTTTTGAGGTTTCAATGTTATTTTAGAGGTAAGTAGTCCAAATTTATCCTCACCATTTTACACTTCATCTTGTCTTTTAGGAGTACTTTGCAACAGTTAAAAAAATTGCACCTTTTTCCATGTGCAGAATTAACGTCCATAAATTAAACCCCATCTACTACATATCATTGCAGGGTCGTCTATGACACCTGCAATCCCCTTATGATTCGCAAATTTCAGTGACCATTTGCCGATTCCATCTCAGATATCTTTCTCATCATCAATGGAGGTGGGTATAGTACCAGGCAACATGGCAGCAACAGACATGCCAAACTCCGGCATCCTGCTGACACCTGCTGGAGCCATCAGCCTCTTCTCGTCAGGTCCTTCGCTTCAGATGCCACTTCACTTGACCTCCATGGACAAAGAGGCCAGGGTCCTCAGGTACAAGGAGAAGAAGAGGAATAGAAAGTTTGAGAAGACCATACGTTATGCGACGAGGAAGACATATGCAGAAGCACGGCCGAGGATCAAGGGGCGCTTCGCCAAAAGATCTTCTGATATGGAAATCGAAGTGGACCCGATGTTCTCAACTGCAGCACTGTCGTGTGGGGGTAGCTATGGTACCGTTCCATGGTTCTGAAGGAACTTTGGTGGATGAGACATTATTACCATATATATATGTGTAATAGGAACATGTGTTGACCATAGTGATAAGGTCGAGTACCTTAGCATTTGAGTTTTGGTTTGTAATTTCATATAGCAGGTCTACATATACTGTTAGTACCTGCTCAGTCACTCTTAACATTTTTAAGTGAACAGAGAGCAAAATAAATAAATAAAATGGAATTGGGAGTTAGTGTGCAAATCATTCTTGGTTGCCACAGATTAGCAGCAGCATATAGCAGTAATGCTATGGAACAGGGACATGACTTCGTTATCCGAAACACTGTAGCTTGGATGGTTCAGTTATATCTTGTGGTCAGTGATCGGCACTATCTGATGTACTATGTAACACTGAGTGTCAAAAGTACCTAAACTATTAATATATACAAAAGCACCTCAGGCTATTTCCTGAATCAAACGAGAGAATATATCAGAAAGTGCTTTCTCATGCTCAGTGCATTATATTCCTCTTTCCTTTAACTAGCAACCATTTCACGAATCTTGGTGACTTTATTTCTCTAGTACTACGGATGGAATGGAACGTTCACCATTTCACGAATCTTGATCACTTATACAGCTTATCATCTCTGGCTAAACTTAAATGTTCGTGACCACAAATCTAGTTCACTAAAAAAATCAGCAAAATCACTATGCATTTAATGTCCATGGAACTTTTCTCCCTGATACTATTACACACACTGCAATTAGAGGAAATTCACTAAAGAAGCACCACCGCCCCTTAGGTCTGGCAACCGTCACCAGTAGGATAGTCTTGGATTTTTTTTATTTTTAATCTTTTTTAATCAGTATTTTAATACTAATCCAAAAAAAATATTTGTAAAACTGACCCAGTACCACACTGTCGTGCCACATGCACTGGCGCGACAAGGGGAGCCACGCTAGCGTCGATGGTTCAATACCGAAAACAGGCCCGTTGCCAAGAGCCAGCGTCTTTGCCGAGAGCCAAATGTCAGGCTCTCGGCAAAGAAAGGTTTGCCGAGAGTCGGCCCTCGGCAACGGTAGGCCGTCGGCAAAGAATTCCTCTCGGCAACCTGGCCCTTTGCCGAGGGTCCGGCTGTCGGCAAAGAAAGGCTGTTGGCAAAAGTTTATCTTTGCCGAGGTCCGGCTCTCGGCAAAACATGGCCGTCGGTAAACCTGTGACGGCAGGCAAACGGCCTTCACCTGCCGTCTGTTTCGCCGAGGGTCAGAATTTGGCCCTCGGCAAAGAATTACTTTGCCGAGTGTCGTTTCTGTGCCCTCGGCAAAATATATTTTTTTGCTTCCAAATTTTTTCCCTGGGTTTACTGTTGTACCTTAAAGTACATATTAAAATTTGGAGCTTTTTTGATTTTATTAGCTATATTTAATAAGTTTATTTTATTTACTTGAATTCTTCTCGATAATTCAAATTTGAGCTATGAGTGCATCGAATATTGGAATTGAGTGATTCAAAAAATCATATGTGATGAGATGTCCGGTTTTAGGTGTGATATCGCAACTTGCGCTCAAACCCACTCAAATTTTATCACAGCCGTTATACATTCGATGAAATGATACCGAGAAGTTTTTCGTGAATTTTGGACTTCGCTTCCATTATATAAAATGGAAACAAAGTTACAAAATTTCGAAACTTGTCAAGGTGTCAAAACGATGCGCCAAATTTGGCATAAAAAACAGTCGGATACGGTCTCACACCACATGCAATACCATGAATATGATTTTTGAATCACTCAATTCCAATATTCGATGCAACACAGCTCAAATTTGAATTACCGGAAGAATTCAAGTAAATGAAATAAACTTATTAAATATAGCTAATAAAATCAAAAGCTCCAAATTTTAAATATGTCTTTAAATATTATTTTTAGCCACCAGAAAAAATTGGGAAAAAACAATTTTTTTTTTGTATTTCCGAGAGCCTCAAAGGGCTCTCTCGCAAAGAGTTTTTAAAAAAAAAAAAAAACTTTGCCGAGACCGGATCTGGGCCCTCAAGAAAGGCCCATCCACATAGACAGGCCAAAAACCCTAACGGCCCACTCAGCCTTCTTCCTCTCGCTCATGCGCCCGCATCCCCTTCCCTCTCTCGCCACAGATCCCATCCTGGCTTGCCGGGTCCCCTCACACATGTGCCTCTCCCCACCCCCCGCCCGTCACGCGTCGCCATAGCCCGCCCGCCCCATCCCGTGCCAGGCACTAAGGGGCCCCGCTTGTCCCCTGCCGACGACGGAGCCCAGAGTCCACCCACCGAAGCTGCGTCGTCTGCCGCGTCGTCTCGCTGCCTCCCGCCGTGGTGGTGGGCACCTGCCGCCGCCAGCCACGCCCGCCGGTGGCCCACCCCCCCGGCCAACGCGTCCCCGGCCAGCCCCTCGCGCCCCCGGCCGTTCCCGTGCGCCCCTACCGGCCGTGTAGGGAGCATTTGGAGGAGGAAGGGAGAAGAGAGGAGAAGGAGAAGGGGAGAAGAAGAGGAGCAGGGGAGAAGGGAGGAGGAGGGGAGAAGAGGAGGAGAAGGAGAGGGAGAGGAGAAGGAGAGCAGGGGAGAAGAGGAAGGGAGAAGAGAGGAGGGGAGAAGGAGGGGAGAAGGAGAGGCCAACGACCATCACGCCCCCGCGTCGTCGCGTCACGCCGAGCGGTCGTCGCCGTTTTCCCCGCGTCTAGCCAAAGATGAGGGTGATCCCGACTCCACGTCGCCCGACTACACTGCCACCCAAGGTAAAGCCCCCCTCCCGCCTGTTGCTGGCCTTCGTGCCATTTCTGGATTAGTGGGCCTTCGTGCCTTTTGTGGATGTGTTGGCCATCATGCCATATGTCGCTGTGTTGGCCATCGTGCCGAAATTATGGATGTCGGCCATCGTGCCATCTTTTTCCTTTTAGTTTTGGAAAGCCTCCCGCATGGGGGAGGTTCGCCAAATTTTGAACTTATAAATTGTGTTTCTTGTTTTGCGAGAGAAGAGCCCGATGGAGGGGACACGAGTACCCCAGCGCCTTCCTTCTTCAGTGTCCGCTGCTGCCGCGTGCCTCTCCACTCCACCGCCACCCTAGGTATAAGCCCTTTGTCCGTAACCCTAGCTAGATCGCACAGAACCAGCTTAGGGCGTCTCCCATTCGAAAGAGATACGGTCGTAGGTATGCAGATCTCTGCATATCTGCGACCGTATCTGTTTTGGATTGTCCACGTTATTTGGATAGCCCGTGGATGCGTAGATGGTTTAGTTTGTATGGTCTGGTCCAGTCCGAGATGGGGTTTCGGCAGCACCTCCCTATTGTTCTCCGGATACACACTCTCCCTTCCAGGACGTGTATCAGGAGAACAGCGGGGATGTGCTGCTGAAATTCTATCTCGGATTGGAGCGGAGCATGGAAACTAACCTCATCTATGCATCCACGGGTGGGATTAGGACCTATCCCTACCTATTAGATAGTAGGCAAGCGGTGCATATGCTATTGATGGTTATATTACTCTGTTATATATATGGTAGATGATGGCAGAGGTGCTCTCCTACGTGCGGGGTCTTGCGATGACCCAAGGTGGAACAGTCCCACAGTTCCTGCTCGGTCAGCTGCAGGCTACACCTCCACCTCAGCTTGATTCTACTTTGGTGAGTATGACAAATGTTTTAGTTTCTCTAAATGTCAAACCTAGTGAAACCTAGTAAAACCTAGTGAAACCTAGTGCTAGTGGTGATGGTGGTGGGTGGTGGTGGCGGTGTGGTTGGTGGTGGTGGTGGTGTGGTCGTGGTGGTGGCTGCGTGGTTGGTGGAGGTGGTGGCGTGGTGGTGTGGTTGTTGTTGGTGGTAGTAGTGGTGTGGTTGTGGTGGCGTGGTGGTGGCGTGGTGGTGGTGGTGGTGGCGTGGTGGTGTGCTTGTTGGTGGTGGTAGTAGTAGTGTGGTGGTGGTGTGGTGGTGGTGGTGGTGTGGTCGTGGTGGTGGTGTCGCGTGGTTGGTGGTGGTGGTGGTGGTGTGGTCGTGGTGGTAAAAAGTACATGTAGTGCTTGGTTATCTATTTATGTTGTCTAACATGTTCTGCATCTTCTTTGTTTGTGTAGCGTCAGTCGGTGGCGTCGAACGACCCTAACCTTCTCCTCGTCAACTCCCCAGGATCGCACGCGGCGCCTTCTCAGCCCGGACCATCACCGTGACCAGTTTGGCGCCTCCTATGCCTCTTGTTTTTGTTGCTTGTCGAACTTTACACTTGTGGTTGTCTATGTGTCGAGATTTGTTTGTGACTTTGAACTTTGAGACTTCTATGTGATGTGGATGTGAATTATGTGATGTCGATGTGGTTATTGATATGTGGATGTGCTTATTGTGATGTGGATGTCATATATATGTCATATATATGTTTATTTGTTGACTGGAAATGCAAAAAACAAAAAAAAAAATTAAAACTGGCTGTGGCTTTGCCGAGGGCTATGGTCATGCCCTCGGCAAAGCTGGGAATTCTGGAACACACAGAATCCCAGCTTTGCTGAGCGCATGACCATAGCGCTCGGCAAAGAGGAAGCCTTTGCCGAGAGCTGAGCCATAGCTCTCGGCAAAAAAATGTCTAAAAAAAATTGTCAATATTCTTTGCCGAGAGCTCTTCTGACAGACGCTCGGCAAAGTTTTTTGGAAAAAAAATTCAGAAATTCTTTGCCGAGAGCTTGCTAAGGCTCTCGGCAAAGATCAACTTTACCGTGACCTCTCGCCGTCACGGCGAAATTTTTTGCCGACGGCCGGCTAATCCTTGGCAAATCCTTTGCCGAGAGCCCGAGATGCGGCTCTCGGCAAAGTAGCCTTTGCCGTGAGGTACTGTGCCGACCGACCTTTGCCGAGAGCAACTCTCGGCAAAGCCTTTGCCGAGGGCAAAGGCTTCTTTACCGAGCGTATCCGGCTCTCGGCAAAGAACCTCGTTCCAGTTGTGGTTGACAGGAGCTGGCGTGGCATAGTGTGGGCCCCGGCCTATCGCGCCAGCGACTCCGGCGTGACAGGCCCATATAAG